TTGGCACAGCCTAACCCTTTCCCTCAAACCCAGAGCTGAGCAATTTTTCCGAGAGAGAACAAAGAACTAACTAGACCTGTGATGGCGAACCTTTTAGAGACTGAGTGCCCAAACTGCAACCCCAAACCCACTTATGCATCGTCGGGTGCCGGGTGGGTGTGGCCCATTAGATGGGTGTGGCCCATTGGGTGGGCATGGCTGCGGTGGTAACAGCCGACTGGGTGGGACTAAAAAGTTCAATCAATCAATTCCAACTTTGCAAGATCTTTTTTTTCCCCGCAAGAAGTTGAAATTGACTGATTGATTGAACCTTTTTTTTTTTTGTACATGGCGGCGGAGGCCTGAAGTGAAAAGGTTTTATAAAACCCAACTGAAGGCCTAGGACTGGGGCGACGGCACGCGTGCCCACAGAGAGGGCTCCGAGTGCCGCCTCTGGCACCCGTGCCATAGGTTCGCCACCACTGAGCTAGACACACAATTAGCTCCTTTTCCTGCCAAGTATAAATCCTTCTAAAGATTGTGATCTCCCGACACCGTTGACTTTTGCCATGAAAATGACACAGCGATACAATTTGGTGAATTCAGCATGTCGGTTAAAAAGCTCATCCCCCAAAGAAAATAAATGGCAATATTGAGGAGAGCAAGGGCCAGGTTCTCTAGACTTCTTCTGAAAGTCTGCTTATTTCCTTAAGAGTGTCCTGAATAGAACACGTTTGGCAAGAACAGAAGCAGCAAATACACTCAAAGGCCTTACTATATGGCTCAAGAGAGATTAATGTGATGACACAGAATTCTGGGGCACACATCTAGCACCTATGGAGCACGGGCTTAAGTACACATGCTCTGCAAGCACACAGATCCGAGGCTCAACTCTGGCATTTCCTGTGTAAAGGATATGTAATTATATTCTGAGATGGGTAACTCATTGCCAGTTTGAGGAGATAACGCAAGGCCAAATAACTGTTGTCTCAATTTAAGGTGGGTGCTCTCTAGAGACCATTTCAATAGAGGCAGGGCCACAATATTCTCCTGACCATTTGAAGAAATACCATTTGAAAAGCAGGAAGGAGGGGTGTGCGTGTTTCACATTTGACAATTTAAAAGTGGGAAGAACAGCAAAAAGCCTTGGAGAAGCTAACCAATCCCACCTCTAGGCACAAAACCTTTAAAAACCAATATTTTGGGGGTCTGAAAATGATCAGAACTTAGGAGCTACTTGGAAAAGGTTTAAAATATCTCCAGGCTTTACTGGAAAAAAAAGAAAAAGAGCTGTGGCAAATGGGCTGCCATGAGCAACATGCGGTCCATGGTGTCTTCATATATGTGCACTCCCATACTTTCCATAGAAGCCACCCCAGGGTCTCATAAAAACTGAGAGTTTTATGCTGCTGCTATTCCTACTGGCCATTTATATATCCTTAGCAATGGCCCATCCCGTTTCTACACTGCAGCATTGTGTCCTCTCAGAAGGACCCACAGAAGCCCTAACATCAATATAGTCCTTACAACAGCTCATTTAATAACCGTTCAAAGTTGCAACAGCATGGAAAAAAGTGACCTATGTCCATTTCCCACACTTAATGTCCATTGCAGCATCCCCATGGGCATGTGATCAAAATCCAGACCAGGGGTTCTTCAAACTTGGCAACTTTTAAGACTTGTGGACTTCAACTCCCAGAATTCTGGGAATTGAAGTCCACAAGTCTTAAAGTCGCCAAGTTTGAAGACCCCCTGATCCAGAAGCTTGGCAACTGGCTCATATTTATGATGGCTGCAGTGTCCCAGGGTCACGGGATCAACTTTTGCAACCTTCCCACAAGCAAAGCCAATGGGGAAGACGGATTCACTTAACGACTGGGTTACTAACCTAACAGCTGCAATGATTCGCTTAATAACCGTGGCAAGAGAAGTCATAAAACGGGGTAGAAGTGACTTAAGAAAGGTCTAACTTTGCATCATAAATTTTTGGGCTCAACTGTGGTCGTAAAGCAAGGACTACCTGTACAGAATTGTTCCACGGGGTTGCACAGGCTTACACTGAATAAAATGGAGAACCAAAATACGGATTTTGGCTATTGAAACCCAGCACCTTCTGCTTCCCAGAACTACAAGGAAAGTCAGCCAGTTGAAGTAGGGCAGAGGCGAGAGAATGCCTTTGTGCTCTTACTTCAATGGACAATAAGGGTGGAGGATGTGCCAAGCCAGTGCTTTTCTCCCTTCAGCCGCTCGCTACTTCTGGTCATGCAAGAATATGATTTTTTTTGTAATGCTAACAATAAAACTCTTGGATGGGGGGGGGAAAGATGAGCAAATACACAAACCATCTTGGATGGGGGTGGGGAAAAAAGATGAGCAAGTACACAAACCATCTTGGACAGGGGGGGAAACAAAAAAAGAAAGATTAGCAAATACACAAACCATCTTGCAAGATTCTAGCCATACCTTCCCGTGCCTCTACTGCTTCTACTGTGGCTGTAATACAGAAGGAACAGTGGCATGCAAAAATAAAGACAGAAAAGAGTGAGTGAACTTAACATCACTTATGGTCGCTTGAGAACTTCGAACCCACCCAATCCCAACAAGCGGGGGACGATAACCGGGCAGCGGAGAAGGATGACAAGAGGGCAAAGATGTGAAAGGGCGTTGTTGTCACGGTGTCAAGAGGCCCGGGACAACAGATCAGAAAATGGCTCAGTTTCCAGGAGAGCAGAATCTAACCATTTGCTTGTAATCGACTTTTCTACGAGTGGCTGGGTGGGGACTTAACATGCACCCAAATCTTTTGCATGTCAGCATTTCTCAGATGACCTCCTACATCATGGGGACGAAGCTAAGCAACCGCTTCTGAAAACATTTCTATGTGAAAGGATGCTTGTTTTAGATCGAGTTAGGATGATTATTGTATCAGGACAAGGGATGTCCCAAAGGGAAGGGGACGATGGACAGCAGCCATTAAATCTGAAACACTTTTCTACAACTAAAGGGGATTCTTTCAGTCCTACTCAAAACATTTTCTGTAGAACCTAGCTTAACTAGTCTGAAACACACACAGAATGCCACACAAAAAGCTTCAGGCTGGTTTCAGTTTAGCATCAACAGGGTAAATAATGCAAAACTTAAGAGGAGGAAATCTCAAATCTCCAACAATCATTTTCAATATTACCACTAAGAACAGATGGGTCAGGAATAAACCAATGACAGTTATGTATGCTCTTTTCACGGCAGCAGAAACTTAGCTATTATTAGAGGGAAGCTCTAGAATGCTTTAAGTTTCTGGGTTCAGCAATGATGTTATGCACATGTCTTGGAAATGATCTTTCGTTTCAGCTTTTATGCTGGGTTTCTATTAAACTAAACCTTCATTTTCTACCAAGCAAAAGTGGCGTATTGTGTCTTTTAGATTTTATTCACACGCTATCTTGAAACACCAGATTTGGAAACCTAGGATATGCTAGACAATCCACGGTGACCCGTGCAGTTCATCTTTTTCGTGACCAAAATCTAGACCTCGTGGTTGGAAGGAAAAAGTGGCGTTGAGAAAACCTGGATAACTCCTTGCTGCAATCAACGTCCGGTGCTTTTCACAAGACACGTTCGTAAGCTAAACTTCCATTGCTATCCTTCGAATCCCGCATGGAAGGACTCCCCTTCTTGTATACTTACCTGTCTGTAGAGTCTGCTTCCCCCCTGAGAGGACCCCCATGGGCAGGGTGCCTGTGGGGGTCAGGCCTTTGAGCGTCAGCACGCTCTCACTCTCCTCTCTGAAAGCAGAAGTAACGGGACCAATTTATGCACGAGCAAACACATAAAAGCACATCAGTTTCTTTATGACTCTGGTACTTGAAATTCTGCAGAGCAGCGTTTCCCAACCTCAGCAACTTACAGGCTTTGAGGGAGATGGATGATTTAGAAACAGGAAATACAAATAAGTAGCCGGGGCTGGGAAACATCACAATAGAAAGAATATCTAAATACCCAGCTGAAAGGATGAGACCCCTGATGTCAATCACATTTGCCCAGAAGGCGGTCAGTGGGTACCATCCAGTGTTATTATGCCACCATGTTGCCAACCTCCGCTTTAACCAGTGGGTGGAATTAAGCAGAGCCTTCTTGGCTCTATATAGATGCAAGACTGCCTAGGATTCACATCCATCCTGTGTCATGTGTCTGATTAACGAAACACTTCGAAGAACTTTCAGGCAGTTTTTTTAACCTAAAAAGCCTTTATTAGTATTACAGAGTGTCAGCACGGCATGGTGGAATGCTAAGATCTGAATTTCCCTTCCCTTTGCACATAACATTCCAGGCATTTCCCCTCCCCTATTTTGGGGTCATGATTCACATCTTCCAATTAACTTGGAGGGCAAAGATTCACTTCCGTTTCTTTTTCCCCGGGCTTTCCTTATATTCTCCTCCCCTTTCGCTGTCACCTGATTTAAACTCTAAAAATACCAGACAGTTCTGCATATATTGTCAAAGCAAGAATATTCAATATTAGCAGCGTTGACATCCTGCTTTTAATTCCAAGGAAAAAGAAGGTGGGACCTATTGGGTGTGTGGGTCAAAGAAGCAGCTGATACTCCTTAAAAGCTTCACTACGGGAGATGCTTTTTTGAAGTATTTGCACGTGTTTTTGTTTTTTTTTAAATCCACAACTACCTGGATAAGATACATCTTGGGAAAATGTTGGTTCCAGAAAGAACGACTCGCACAGTTGATCTATATAACCGACCTTTGTGTGCTTGAGGATTTTCAATCTTTCCAAACTTTTTGTACTTTTCCCAAATGGGGCTCAGGGTGAGCATCTCTGAGCTGTACTGATACAACAGAGGCAGTCTGGCAAAACGCTTGAGCAGCTTTATCTTCCCTTTCTGACCAAGATTCCCAAGAAAGAGCAAGCTTACCGAAGAACGGAAAAGACTCGTGCCATCTTCCCAATGGCCCTGATCTTATTCCTGATGATCTCTTTACGGGCATTTGTGCCTCCTTAGGAAAGAAGAATCAAAAAGTTTTTTTTAAAAAAAAAAGAAAGAAAAAAGGATGAGGTACAATAACGCTTTAGGCTCAGTTGATGCCAGTATGCAGCATCTACTTGATTCTGGGAAAGAGAAACCAGATTACAACTTTACAGCTAAATCGCATTAGTCGGTTACGGAAAAGTCGTGATCAGAATGAGGAAGGAGAGCAGGTGACGGACAAGGTGACGTACAGGAAGTCCAAATGGGAGGAGAAATGACCACAAGAAGGAATATGCCAAGTGTTATTCGGAGCAACAGACCTCTCTGCTTCCCACCAGTGGGTCTGACCACACAACACAAGGGAAGCAACATGAACGACTCAGCCACAGAGACACAGCTTGGCAATGCGTGGACACAATGACAAGACCAAGTGAAGGTGAAAAGGATTCTGGGCGTGCAGAAGGGAGAGTGGTCACACAAGCACACTCTTCAGATGCAGACGAGGAGTGGCTAGAAACTTTTGCGGCTTTGTTCACGCTCTCGTTTAATACAGCATCTTGGGGATAAGCCCACTCCCCTTCGCTACACAGACCAAACATGGATCGAAAAGAACGGAAACTTGGGGGAGACGGGGGTTCAACTACAAACTGAAGGGCAAATACATCTTCTCTGAACTGAGGTCTTATTTCGCTTGTTGGTTATGACCCAACTAGGCATTAAAGAACAGGACAAGCCAAACTGCAGATCTGACATGCACCAATGGATCCAGCCATGCATAAGGTGGCTGCATTCAAACGTCAAGAGAAGTGTGACCCCCACCACACACCGTTCAGGTTCCTGAAGGAACAAAACAGGGTTAAAAAGAAAAGAAAAAGAAAAGAAAGAAACACATCAAACGCACCACGTTCATGTTAAAACTGAAGGGGGGGAGGAAAATGGGAAAATGGCGAGGTTGTCCAACTAGTCAGCTATTCAAAATCCACTCCAAGGAAATCTGGTGGCACAGGCAGTGAGAATTAAGCTTTTAAGCAAATTCTAGCTGGGTACCTTTCGGATAGCTTGAAATGTAGTTATCTTCAGAGAGAGGAGACACCAAGTATACAAGGAGATGAAGATAGAGATAGAAGAAACAAATTTAATTTCCATGGGAGGGAGCGAAGAACATTTAAAAAAAAAAACGCAGTGGGGCAAGGAAGTAGGTTTGTGTTTTTTTTTGCACTTCTGCTAAACCTTCCTCTCTTTTACTAAAACCTTATTCGCCAAACTCTGGATGACAATCAACTTGACTTCTGTTTTCCACATGTTATCACCTAAGTATTACTAAGGGCCAAAAAGATGAGGTTGATTTCATTCTTGAAGAGTATGCAGAAATGACAGATAAAGCTCTTTAATGATCAACAACTCAAAAAGCACTGCTTCAACCATCTTTTTCATCTTTTAACAGCATCCGAACTAGACGGCGGACAACGTTTACGTTCTTAGCAAAATATTTTCGAGTTACATGAGGAAGAGCCCAAAAAAAAAGTTCCCAGAACAACCCACAATATTGCCAGGCATGCGACTTACACACACATTTTGTCTTAAAATTGTTTTAGGCACGAATAGGATAGCGTTTACCGCTGTAAACTTCAGGGTCCCTTCCTGCCCAGAATACGTTTGGAGTCAGGTTGGTTTGTTTAAAAAAAGAACATATAAGATGTGATAAACAAGCACTCTTTACCTTAAATATGACATTGATTGGACCAGATGCTGATGACTATCTGATCAAGTCAATTTCATCCACAACTCCATCAACTTATCCTGGGAACAGGAATGGGAGCAACACACACCAAACTTTCTACCTTGATCAAGCTTCTTCTGTTTACGTCTCCCTTTCTGTTTTCACAATTTTGATACAAATCGCAAGCTGAGGACGATAGATCAAAGGTAAAGCCACAAGAGTAGAGTGGTGGATGGGGGAGAGGGGTTAGTAGTTCTTTAGGCCCAAAGTAATAACTGTCTGTAAACCAGCCAAAGATAGATAGATGGCAAGCTTAAAATTATGAATGGAAAAGATGGCAACAAAATGGTGCTAAGAAAAAGGCCGCATATTCGAGATTAAGTAACCCAGTCTCTCCGGATTTACTTGAAACCGCCCAAGACCCTGAAAGTGTCACAAAAGGGTTTGGTTACCGTCCAATATTTCATCTCCGTCTGAAATCAGCTCATCATCGGAGCAGATGTTGAGGATGTTAACCAGCATCTCTGTAACTGCAGGAAGTAGCGAGAAAAAGTGATGAAGCATCACCATCAAACGGGTGCTGGATCTAGGTCGCAAAGTTCTTTGCTTGCCCATTAAAGTAGCTTTGGGACAGCCTTCTCAACCCTCCCCCCAAACACCACTCTATCTGATCTGTTTGTGCTAAATTGTTTGCACAATCCGTCCACACAAAGAGGTAGAGAGGTCAGTGGGACCCAGAAAATGCCTTTCAATAAGGCCTTCTCAGGGAGCAGCCTTCTTCCAGGAGTCAGATCTAAACAGAATGCTTTAGAAAGCACAACTGTAGAGGGCAGGGCCTCCATCTAGCCCAGGCTAACCAATCCTATTGTTCCGGAGGACTTTTTCATTCACTTCTCGGTTAACCCCTTTGGCTACTGGGAACTGTGGATCCCTTACCCTTTTCTCCCACAAAAGGCAGAGACCATGTGAAAACATCCATGAAATTTGGAAGCCAGTACGGGTGCGGGGAGCAGTTGAACTGTCTGATATTCATGACGTTATTTTCATATTTTAAAACAGCAGCTGGAAGAAAAACAAAAGAGGATGAGGACTGACCTGCACCTTCCATCCGAGGTTTACAGAGCTCTGAAAATACAGTTCTGTTATTAGGTAAGACATCTACTAAACAAAATGAAACATCCCACCTGAGACAAAAAACGTTAGATAAAAATGATTACTGCTGGAGGCCAACTGCTGAAAACTGAAAAGAAGAAGAGTAACGCCACATCCAAATGTATTTTAGTGCTCTCTGTTATGGCCTTACATGCTCTCTCCCTCTAGCACAGGGGTAGGCAACCTTGGCTCTTTTATGACTCATGGACTTCAACTCCCAGAATTCCTGAGCCAGCGTGGGGGAACTATGGCCCCCTCATGACTCGTGGACTTCAACTCCCAGAATTCCTGAGCCAGCATGGCTCAGCATGGAAACTCTCTCTTTCCCCTCAGCATGGCTGGCTCAGGAATTCTGGGAGTTGGAGTCCACACATCTTAAAGTTCCTGAGGTGGAGAAACAATAGACTAGACCAGGGGTAGGCAACCTTGGCTCTTTTATGACTCGTGGACTTCAACTCCCAGAATTCCTGAGCCAGCATGGCTCAGCATGGAAACCTCTCCCTTTCCCCTCAGCACGGCTGGCTCAGGAAATCTACAATAATCCAACCTAGGCACCCCTCACATACAACAACTTACCCTTGTTGTTATAGACGTCTAGGTAATTTGGTGCCGAAAAGATGGTGATGAGCGATGGAAAACCTGTGGTTTGGCTCTTTCTGTACATTCGGTACCTGGAAAAGCAGGCAAAGGCTGAGCAGCCTCTTTTGATATACCATCTTAGCCAAGAAAGCTGTTCAACATAACTTGTTATAAACCTACCCTGCATCCTGGGCTTCGTGCGCTCGAATCACGGATAACAAATTGTTGTTTTGCAAAAATTCACAAATTGCAGGGTAACTGAAAGATAAAGTTTTAGAGACACGTTAGTAGGTGCTGAAATAACCAATTATCTTTCATGAGAAGCTACCTGTGAATTTACACAGATGGGCTTTATCACACAGATCAAAATGTTCCTGGAGACGAAATGTCAAACAGATTCTGGGAAAGTTACGAAGGCAAAAAGGCCATTGCCAAAAGAAACACATGGCCAACCTTTTTGAACTTCAGGAGCCCCATGTGAAGTATTTTTTCTCAAATTCTAGATATAAAGAGTAGGTCTATTTGTGAATTATAACTTAGAAGAAGGTAAGTAACCAGTTCTTCACTATTTTCTCTGATTTACATATGGATGATTAACTAAAGAATTTAGAATGTGTGGAGAACACTAGTTGTGCCAAATGCTGCATTCTAGTTGATTGTAATATAATGACAAGCATTGATGGTTACGACCAGGCTGCCACTCCACAAATGTCCAGAAAAGGGACATTCCTCACAACAATATTGAATGACCATAAAGGCTGACTGGATAGGGTCATTTCATTAAATTATAAAAGAACTGGATTGTAATGATCTCCCAGTTTGTGAAATCTTATAAACATTCAGGAAGGTTCCGCTACTGCAATAAAACCCCACTTGATCTAACTTTCAAACGGTCACTTTCATTGTACAGGATCAGAAGCTTTGGGGAGCAGAGGTAATATGAGCAATCAATGCAAATTTCCCTCGGCATCCAAAATTGTAAAAGAGGAAGTAAAGAAGAATACAAATTTCTCAGAAAGCACTCAGAAATAAGTCACATTTATAAAATGTGAAGATGTCTCACAGTTTTGAAGACTGCCATATTAGGAATCTCGGTGATGTATTACGCTCATTACCCTCAATTCAAGGTACGTTCCTGCATTAAATTTCTTTACAATTCTCTGTAGCCCTAATAAACTTGTTTCGTCCTTTCAAAAATTATCTTGCTAACTATTTAGATCTTGTAAATTATCTCAGTAAACAGTAAGCAGCGTTAAGGTCTTGCAGATATCTAAGAAAAAAATTATTGGTAACCCAGAGGTGAATCTTTATTGTGTTATTTTAGAGTGAAACATTTTAACTCTTCTATAAACAAAATGTTGCTGGGTTCCAAATACCCAGAGGCCTGGGCCCTGCAGCCTCGTGCTGTTCCCTTTTCATTTTAGGAACGTCGTTTGAACACTGCCTCACCTGTAGAAATAGGAGCAACCTCGAACAGTGTTGTGAGTAAAGTGCTCCAAGGTCTTCTCATTGCCGTAATCTTCCGATGGATCGGACCACAGTAGGTCACACATTGGACCAAAGGCTGGAGGCTCCTTAAACCTATCTAACTGAAAGACAAATACACGCACAAAAAAAGAGGCAATTATGAATGCAAATCTCTTAAGACAGGGGTAGGCAACCTTGGCTCTTTTATGACTGGTGGACTTCAACTCCCAGAGTTCCTGAGCCAGCATGGCTCAGCTTGGAAACCTCTCCCTTTCCCCTCAGCATGGCTGGCTCAGGAATTCTGGGAGTTGAAATCCACGAGTCATAAAAGAGCCCAGGTTGCCTACCCCTGCCCAAATGCCTGAATTTTGATCACGTGACCGTGAGGAAAAATATTTAAATATTTAAACCAGAAGTCTTCAAACTTGGCCCTTTTATGACTGGTGAACTTTAACTCCCAGAATTCCTGAGCCAGCATGGGGGAACTATGGCCCCCTCATGACTCGTGGACTTCAACTCCCAGAATTCCTGAGCCAGCATGGCTCAGCTTGGAAACCTCTCCTTTTTCCCTCAGCATGGCTGGCTCAGGAATTCTGGGAGTTGAAGTCCAGGAGTCATTAAAAGAGCCAAGGTTGCCCACCCCTGTCTTAAGACAATAAAAACATATTATTAAGACATGCAAAACAGGCCAGGTGCAGAAAAGGTATCTATAAAATAGCAATGTCCATTATGACAGAGTTTCCTAACCTTTCCAGCTTCGTGGACCGGTGGGAGAGGGGGGGTAGAGGGGACGGTTCTGCGCAAGGGGCAGGCAAGCATGCATGTGCATTCAGCTCATGCAAGAGGGGATGTGCGTGCGCACTTGCCTGCCGCTTTGGGCGGCCCAGTTTTAAACAGCTGAGGGCCCGGTAATGGGCTGTAGCCCAGGGGTCGGGGACTCTTTGCATTATGAGATATTTTGGAAATAAATATCTAACATGTTATCGATACTGATTTCCATAGGAGGAATATCTACTCCATGGAAAGTAGGCCTAATGGGAAGTCACTTTAAATAAAATCAAGAAAAAAAATTGTTCGGCTTAATCGTTTCTCTGAAAGGATTAAAAATACACTTGTTTTTAAAATCCTCACTTCAGTTTTGAGGGAGAAGGCAGGGCTGCTGATTACTTGCTGAATTGTTATATAATCTTGTGTACCAGTTTTAGGAAACTTCAAAAGAAAAAAAAAATCGAATTTCTGGACCGGTAGTTTTGTAAAAAGCCTGTGAGTAAAACCCAGTCATCGGTTGTGAAACACCCGTTTAATGGGCTGGAGAGTGGAAAGAGAAAAGAAAGACCACTTACTCTCCTAATGTCATCTAGACACGTGATTTCAGGAGACAGCCCTCCGTGCACGCACAGAAATTGTTGATTCAAGAGGGCCGCAAGAGGAAGACAGTCGAACGTATCCATGCACGCATCATAGACCTGCTCTGAGTACTTGATTCGACCTACAGCAAGCGGAAGTGAGAAGGGGGAAAAAAAACGCAGCTGTTGTAAAGGCTGTAGGTTTGCAAAGTGCCTGAAGGCAGGACAAGAAGCAACAGATGAAAACTAATCAAGGAGAGAAGCAACCTAGAACTCAGGAGAAACTTCCTGGCAGTTAGAACAATCAACCAGTGGAATAACCTGCCTCCAGAAGCGGTGAATGCTCCAACACTGGAAGTTTTTAAGAAGAGACTGGACAGCCATTTATCTGAAATGGTGTAGGGTTCCTGCCTGAGCAGGGGGTTGGACTCGATGACCTCCAAGGTCCCTTCCAACTTTATTATTATTATTGTTGTTGTTGTTGTTGTTGTTGTTGTTGTTATTATTATTATTATTATTATTATTATTATTATTATTATTACTACTACAGACCCAAAGACATTCACACTTTCGACATTTGGAGACTTTTAACATCAGCTTGTCTAACAATAAATCCTAGAAATCTTTCACCAGCCCCTTGTGTGTTTCAGAAGCTTCTCAGTCGTTGTTTTTTTAAGAAGTACACACAGCTCATGTAGGGTGGTGGGCAAGAGAGCTGAGTTACACCACTTCATCCCGGGTGCAGCGGAGCAATGAATTTCAGAGTTCCTTGCAGTGGCATTTTGGAGAAAACTGGCGCAGTGATGAACGCTTTCCGTTTCACCCCAGACTGATTTTCTTAGTGAGGAATGACTGATAATTCTCTACGGGAGAGTCTGAATGCCACTGCTCTCGGCCTCTTCATTTAAAACCCTTCATTCGTTCATTTACAACAGGGGTCTTCAAACTTGGCCCTTTTGTGACTGGTGGACTTCAACTCCCAGAATTCTGGGAGACTGTAAGTTCTAGCTCTGCCTTAAGCATGAAAGCCAGCTGGGTGACTTTAGGACAGTCACTTAGCCCAGCCAACCTCACAGGGCTGTCTTTGTGGGGAAAAGAGGAGGAGAAGGAATACTAGGTACTTCTACAGCACGGGGAGGTTTTGGGCAAAACAGAGAAAGAGAGTTGCATTGGAGGGAGGCTGAGACACAAGGAGACACTTAAAAGGTTTTAAGCTAATACGCCAAGCCAGAGAACTAATATTTAAATATGCAAGGAGAAAAAAAAAAAAGAACTGCAGCCACGGAATGAGAAAGGGAGGGAATTAAACACATTTTTATCTGTGGGATTTTGAAACTAATCAAAAAGGGAACGGGGTACTGGGTTTCCCTCCCTAAACTTTTATTCAGATTTATTTCTTTTTTTATTTTCACCAGATGGATGGATGGATGGATGGAAGGGTAGATTAGATCGATAGAATCAGTGAAGAATCTGCATTAAAGGGGAAGCCTTCAATTTCCCTCCAATTCTGATGCCAGCTGCACAATCTGGAACTGAAAGCGCTTGGCAATAATTACAGGCTGCAGGGTCCCTAAAGCAAGTGGGGGTGGGAGGGACAGCTTGCATGGAGTCAGACTGTCAGGAAAACAGTTAAGTTAGGAGCAGCTCTCTCCGTCTCTGTTGAAACGCCCCTTCTACGCATGGGTGGGTGGCGGGAAAGAGGGGGAGGCTGCAGCATCTATGCAGCCTCATCCACATTCACAACCTTCTCTTGTCACCAGCAGCCCATCCCTCATCTTTTTACTTACACTCTTGTTTGAAGGTGAAATATTCTGTGAGATGCCTGCACTCATGGTTCCCTCGGAGCAGGAAAAGTGTTTTGGGGAAGTTTATCTTTAAACTCCATAAATATAGCACACACTGCAAAGAGAGAAAGAGAGAGAGAGATTGAAGGTAGAAGGTGAGAAAAAAATGTTTTTCGGGGAACTTTACTTTGAAACTTTTGGAAGACATGTAGAAATCTGGTTCCAAAAATACCGTCAAACGTAACAGGACTGGAATATTGGAAAGCATTTCAGTCCAGCAGGGTGTCCTCTGACTTGCAATGACTCAGTGGGGTCCCGGGCAGAAAGTGAGTTTCCATCACTTGTTACTTAACTGAGAAATCAAGAATTGAACCTGGAACCTCTTGCATAAACAATGTGATCTTGCTTCAAAGATTCAAGCTGAGTGCCCAAGGCAACGGTGTGAATACAATAAAATCATGGCTCCGGTCTAAAGTGCCATTAGGTCTGTAAAGCAATGAAGCACAGGTACGACAAACAGGACAGTGTACCTATGTTAATGAGTCCTCTACCCTCTCTGGTCACAAAGGACGGTTATTCTGTGCTAATTTTATTTCGTCGCGTTATCCACTCTTTGTAATTTTTTTGTAAAGCCCACACAAGGAGACCCTTGAACTGTTACAAATAAAACATTTAGGTCCATTTTGCGGAAACCGCATCCAGCAGCATTAGTCTGAAAATCTGAAAATGTATTGTCACGTGGAATTGGAACAGGAAAAGAAAAAGAAAAAGTGCCCGTCAAGTGCCAAATACATTATATAGTCAGAAGCTAAAAATGGAGACAAGATTGTCACGAGAATTCGACCGGGAAAATTAAAACCTTCAATAGGAGCTAACTATCTTTTTCACAGGTTTCTCCGGATCCATGCAAATTTACATTTTTCCATAAGCAGGCCTAGTAGTCTTTTCATGCAGCTACCTTGCATGATACTATTCAGATTTAACAACTATTGGCTAGAAGCATTGAACATCATTATCTTCACTGGGTATTTTCTGGTTTTATTTCCAGTAAATGATTGCCAAAACACTTCTTTCTGCCTTTAGTGCTTTTCTCTCAGCACAAATAGCCAAATGCTCATACAACAAAGCAAAATCAAATCTAAAGAAAATGCCAAAAAAATACCAAAATATTATGTTGGAATATAAATTTTTGTTTTGACCAATTAGACGTAGATAATTGTATATATTCAGAACAATCTATACTCCTGAGAGCATTGACTGCAGTATCAAATAGAACGTCATCTGCAAAAACAAAGGGGAGAATGACACTAGTGTTATAAAGGCACAATTTGAATTCATTAACACGATTACACGTACGGAGTACCTATTTCATTTCTCCATTTGTATTCAATCTTTCCAAGGAGTTCAAGATAGTATACATGAGCTAACATAATTAACATGAGCTAAGCTAGTATGTTCAACATATATTGGCTGGCATACATATGCTAAACCATGAACTGTTAGCCATGGTAATCTTTATAACACGATTTACAAATCACAACCAACTGAATATTGCTTAGGTCCATTCTGCATCCGGTTTGTCTCCCTGTCCACCTGAGTGCTAAAGACCAGATTACAGGGCTGTAAATGTTAGTCTCCCTGGTCCAGATGATGATCCCATGTCATCATCAAATGCAGGTCACTGTTTTCTGCTCTAACAATGTTAGCGCTGGCCTTTGCTCCCAAGAGCTTCTGAGCCTGTTTCCTGCATCAAGATATAATTATAAAAATTACCTCCTCTTCTATTTTGTTAAAAGGACATTAACAGAAACTGCTCTGGCAGATCTCCCTAACATCCCCAACCCAAATGAAGAAATTGCTCTAATTCCAAGAGCTTTGGTTCCTTCCCGTTCCTGAAAAGTGAAAGTGGCAGCTGGAAAAGCCAAACACAAAAGAAATTCCTGAAAATTGAGGAGCAAGATTTTTCTGCATCCAAGTTTGCATGGGATATTTTTTTTTTCTTAATCATACAGATAGCAACCTGTTGTTGTGAGCTTTGACAAAACTCATCAATATATCTGAGCTGGGTTCCTTTATCTGTGCCAATTCACCTTCTCTCTTCCAAACCCAGTCTGGCTTCCCTCTCCTTGTCCCCTGCGCTAAACACTCTGAAATGGACTGAGTGTTGAAGCCAGAAAACCCTTGTTTTACTGGGAGGAACAGGGATATCTCTATTCATGCACCTTAGCAGAGCTTCCCAATTTCGTTTGATCCAGTGACATTTGCAGCGGCCCCCGCAGGTGCGAATCAAAGCCCGCCCTGCTTTTTGAAGGATGAATACCTGGCTTTGTAGAAAAAGAACAAATGTATCGCGGTTCCCCTGCCGGTGCAGACTGTGAGAAAGGAATCAAGAATAACATGAAAGGGGCTTCTTGCTGCCACCTACAAAAGGTGGTAATTCCAAGAAACGCCCAAGTTTTGCAAATGCCAGGTTTTGTGTAGCGTGAGCCTGTAATATTTTGGACGTGTTTCCTAAGTGCCAACGTTGCATATAATTTTCGGAGCAGAGCTTCAAACAATCGTCTCAGCAGAATTTATGCCACTTTCTTCCACATCTCTTCCGATCAACCCAATTTTCTCCACCTTCCCCAATGGTTTCTTTTAAAACCCGTCCACGCTCACTTAAGTGCTGCAGAGGCAGAGGATATGCAGCTCTCCAACAGGGCAACCTTGTGAAACCTACGTTTTTCTTGAAAATTAAGAATTCCAGCTTTTAGCTCCACATCTCCCCCGCAAACGTTCTAGATATCACAATTAAAGCTGCCACTGAGGAGAATTTGAAGCGAATTTCAAGTCTTCTTTTTCAAGCAGAACCATGGAGGGATTTTAAAGAAAGGCAAAATTAATTGGATTCATGCAGAGATTGACAAGGGATTTGGTCTCGAGTAAAATTAAAAATTAATTCGGTGCTTCTTCAAGTAAACCATCCTAAGTGATTTTTAGCAAAGCAAAACGAGCTTTGTAAAAAAAAAAAATGCTGAACGTTCTTAGGAGACTTTTCAATACATGCTTATCAGAGCATGTATGAAAATAAGCCAAGTGGTAGATTCAACCCATCTCCTTTGAAGATGGATCTGGGGTTTTTTCCCCCCTGCAAGTTGTATTACAATGCGATCTCTTGCTTGTTCTCAAGGGAAATCCTCTTCTTTAATCAAGTAAATAAAAGAAAATAAATGGGAAAGATTTCCATCCTAAAGGAATATTCAGAAATATGATGTTTTAACTATGTTGCAACAGGAACCCTTCAAAATATTAAAATATATGCAGTCAAGCAAGATGTCCCAAAGGTGCTTTCCAAAAGGCAACTGGACTTTCTTGGTTTTTTTCCTTGAAAAGATTTTTTTATCCAAGAAGCTTTTTCAGTTCTGAAAAACTAAGAAAGTCCAGTTGCCTTTGGAAAAACACCTTTGGGACAACCACGACCTGGATGATTGAGAATCTCCATAGACAATCAAGCAGGATATACATTTTGAAAAATTAAACAAATTAAGATTAAGATAACCTTTATTGTCATTTTTTTTTACTGTGAGCACACTGGCACACATTAAAAATGAAATTCTGTTGCCTGCTCTCAAAAGATAAATAAGGCACTTGTGAGTCTTTTCAGATCTGTCTCCACTACCTTTTTAAATAAACTCTGAGGTCATCCTGACTCCTTCGGTAATTTTTACTGACTTATCTGCCAGAGTTTATAATAAGAAAATCTGTGAATGTTAGCACATTACATACATTTTGTTTATAAAAAAAATCCTTTGGAAAGCTAAAGACAATGAAGATATGAAATAGTAGATAGCCCATGATGTCTTACACTGCAATCAAAGGACTTTGTCACTATTTTCTTTTAACTGGCTTACATTTGAGAGGATTAATTAAAAGGGAAGTCTTGAAACATTTCAAGACTGACCAGTCCCAAAAGCAGAGTACAAGGAAAATAAAGAAAAATCAATGCTTAATTCACCCCCAAAGGCTCAACTGAATTGTCACCTCTATACTGAAGTAGCCTCTGTCCACGTAGTCTCCCAGGAAGAGGTAGCGTGTGTTATTGGGTGATCCACCAACTTCAAACAATTTCATCAGGTCAAAGAACTGTCCATGAATGTCACCACACACTAGGGGAGGAATAATAGCAAAAAAAAATTACACACAAAGAGGGCCAAAAAAGTCACAAAACCAATTGGGAACGGAGCTTTGCTCTAAATTCTGGAATTTCACTCAGGTCCTACACTTTGTTTTCGTGGTATAGAAACACACTTTATCTGAACGATGTATATTGGAAAACCTTCCATTTCAGCAGAGTCAGCTAGATGACTCAGAAGTGACTTCTAACCTGTGATTGGAGCTTCGACTTCAATCATTGTCTTCTCATGTTTCAAGATGGCAGCTCCATCGTTGATTATCTTCAGTGCTGCGTCCTCTTCCAGGCGCCCTTCTTTCACCAAATGGTTTTTTAAGATCTCTAACCGGGGCTTCCCATCCTCAAAAACCTCTTTCAGCGTTAGCCGCTGAGTTGGGGGGAAAGGAACAGCTGGAAAGAGAAACAAATAAAGAACATTAACAGAGTTTACCAGAACAGCAGTACTTCTAAAACAGTAAATCTTCCACTAAATTGGGACAAGTGGAAATTAAGATGCATTTAGAAGTTAACGTCCATCGCCAGAAGCCCATACTAGCTTTTAGTGAATTTGTAGGGAACTTGTCACTATTTCCTCTAATGTATATAATCAATACTGTATAAAAAAGAGTTAAAGTGCGTTAAAGATTTGGTTACTTATTTAGGTGGATAATGTTAGTTAGATTATGAATAATATATTTGTAACCCTTTGGGGGAGGGGAAGGGGGTTTATTTTGTAAATGTTATAAAACTTTTAATAAAAAAAAAAATACTGTACAAGCATTACTAGAGATCTTGAAAGGAGAACGATGAAAACCAAAACAGCTATTTGCCCTTCCACATTGAAATGGTTCCAACCATAATTCAGGTGTCAAAAAATATGGAAGAATACACAAAAACAGTGAAAGACAAAATCATTTGGCAATGACGTTATCAAGAGATAGAAGCAAGTGAAGATTCCAGAGAAATTCCTATTTAATATAAAACTTGTTCTAGTTTTAACAAGTGGGGTTTTTTTCCCCCAGCCATCTCTTGGATGGGAACATGGGAAGTAGAAAAGGTTTGTTCACAGACAGGTGAAAATTATATGATTCTTGGAGAAAGAATATTTCTACTACCATCTACTATTTACTAATTGTTAGCATGGAGGGAAAAAAATACCTTGCTTTATAATGGTTAGTCTGTAAAATAGAGAGGAACTCTTATTAATAGGCCAGATTTATGTTCTGAAACAGCACCTTACACATTGATCCACGGAATGGCTTCTTGAAAGTACTTGATTAGCTGCCACGGATAAGCAAAACAATTGTGCTGATTCAGATTGTTCCTCATTTGCCCTGAGGCAATTTCCTTCCCATGTCAACAATTTAAGAGGAAATGCTACACAGAAGATTCAGAACAGCAATGAAAGTTAAACATTGGTTTGCCTGTTTGGTGAGAGAATGCTGCAGAAGCCATGCTGCATTTGGTGGGTCTAACTCTAAGGAATACCAGCAAGTCAGCAGTCAGGATATTGATGATACAAGACTAGGACTGATAGGAGAACAAAAAAATATCCTGCTTTCCTAGAAGGAAGGAAGGAAGGAGAAATTCGGCATTGCATTGATACCTTTCTCAAAAATCCTGATTCCGCTGAGAAAGGGAACATTAAAGGGGATCTAGAAAATTACAACTTGCATGGCATTAACAATAGCATTTTACAGGGGGAAATTGCTAAGGACAGGCATTATCTAGCAATATAACATGAATCAAGGCAATTATAAGCATTTTAAAATCCACTAATGTTCAAACATCTAAGTGTACATATACAAATTGTGATGAATAACAGAATCTCACAAATACTCATGTGAGAAAGCCTTCCTTTATTCTAATCCAGGGTACTTTTACAGTCATCCACAACTTGTTGTTGTTGTTAGTTGCGAAGTCGTGTCCGACCCATCACGACCCCATGGACAACGTTCCTCCAGGTCTTCCTGTCCTCTACCATCTTCTGGAGTCCATTTAAGCTCACGCCTCCTGCTTCAGGGACTCCATCCAGCCACTCATTCTCTGTTGTCCCTTTCTTCTCTTGCCCTCCGTCTTTCCCAGCATTAGGCTCTTCTCCAGGGAGTCCTTCCTTCTCATTAGGTGGCCAAAGTATTTGAGTTTCAACTTCAGGATCTGGCCTTCTAAAGAGCAGTCAGGGTTGATCTCCTCCAGGACTGACCGGTTTGATCGCCTTGCAGTCCAGGGGATTCGCAGGACACAACTTGTACTGCACCACAAATACAAATGTTGTTTGCCATCCACCTAGTGAAATTTCCTGCAAGAATGCTTTTGATCCTGGCTCACAATCCAAAGACTGACAAAAAGACACAGCAAACTTTAAAGGCTGAATCTGGAAACCGTTATTTACAATGAACTAGTAGAACTGAAGAGCTGCTGGTGGCTGACTAAGATTTTTGGCTTGTTTGTTCATCAAACACTTCAAAGCTAGGTCTCTGGATGAATCAGAAAGTGTTTTTGTGCCCTAGTTTTCTTTCTGCAACTAACAAAAATCCCTGCATTTCAATTACGTTTACACCTCAATTTATTTATTTTGTCATTGCAGCACTTGGATCTATCTTCAATTGTTTATATATGAAACACTGTATATAAAAGAGATCTAAGTATAAATGAGAAACAAAGTAACATGCATACTTAAAGATAAACTCCCCTGAATTTGATAGAAATGATTCCCAGTAAAGGAGGAAAGTGTTGTAGCCTAAATCAGGGGTAGGCAACCATGAGTCATAAAAGAACCAAGGTTGCCTACCCCTGGCTTAAATTTACAGAGTTGCAGACATAGAAAAAGAACCTGCAATAATATCCCTGTGAACAGCAGGTTCATCAAATAATAACTGTCATAATATTTAGAGGGAGCGAAAAGCTAACGCAGAACTTGAAACCGTGCTAAGTTCTTTTTCACCAGTGCCAGACTGAACAAAAGAATCAGTTGAACCCAGTCTGACCCTTCACATTTAAGCAGATCAGATTCAAACTTGTCTTTAATTTGCTGCTGTATTTATAGCCAGAGTCCCCTATCCTAAGCATAATCTTTACCTTATGAAGCAACTGTTAGGTCATAATGCCTAAGATATGCATATACTTAACTGCACATGCTTAAAAAATGATTTGGAAGAAGCGCTTCAGGCCTAACTGAAAAGCTGCAACTTCTGTAAGGAGACAATTCAAAGTAGCCAGACCTTTGTTTTTACACATGAAAAAAAAAAGGAGGAAAAAGAGCCGCTTTAATAAATTGCAGATGGGTGCTATGCAAGAAATCCAAAGCAGATCTTCCAACTCTTTTTCTGCAGCCTTAGTGCCTAATAAGGAGCTTTACTATTTTCCGGGGAAGTGAAGAATGAATTAAGGCAGTGATGGCGAACCTTTTCAGAGACCGAGTGCCCAAACTGCAACCCAAAACCCACTTATTTATTGCAAAGTGCCAGGGCTGCATCCGCATTGTGGTGCCCTCAAGGGGGGCGTGGGGGGAGTGGCCCACTGGGTGGGCAGGGCTGCAGTGGTCACATCAGACTGAGTGAGCGTGGCCGGGGTCAGTCCCTCGCCATCTCCGGGGACATCCCTGGGGGCCAACGCTCACGCACTTCTTGCCGTGCCGCTTCCAAACACCACGTGCTCGCTACTCTGGCGAACCCTGCTGGGGCAACGGCACGCGTGCCCACAGAGAGGGCTCTGAGTGCCGCCTCTGGCACGCCTGCCATAGGTTCGCCACCACTGAATTAAGGTTTTTCCCTAATTTATGCACTGTGCTAAATTCCTACCTGAAAATCTAAGTTCTTCTTTTCCCTAGAACAGTATGTTATTTTGCAGTCATTCCCAACTTAAAAAAAAAAAAAATCATTCAGGAAAATTGTCCACTAGCCATGTTAGTGTGCATTAAAATATGCATATATAGTGCATATGTTACCCTTCAATTAATATTTTGCAGCATCAAGCAAGTACAAGATGTATATTTCCCCCAAAAAGAGTTTATAATAATAATAATAATAATAATAATAATAATAATAATAATAATAATAATAATAATAATAATAATTGGCATTGACAAATTCACCATTAGTCAATTGCAAAAGGCAGCCTTACTAGGAACTGCTTCCATCCTGCGACGATATCTGTAATACCATCAAACATCCACATCTGCCTATCCCAGGTCCTGGGTAAGGACTCGATAGGTAGACAAAATGCCAAATCCAGTCTGAACATCTGGCTAACTGTGCGATGATCATAATAATAATTATGATCATCTTGGGACCTTGGAAGTCTTCAAGTCCAGCCCCCTGCTCAGGCAGGAAACCCTACACCATTTCAGACAAATGGCTGTCCAGTCTCTTCTTAAAAACTTCCAGTGTTGGAGCATTCACCACTTCTGGAGGAATCAAATGGTAGATCCAATATGTCCTAGCCCAGGGGTAGGCAACCTTGGCTCTTTTATGACTCGTGGACTTCAACTCCCAGAATTCCTGAGCCAGCCAGTTGAAGTCCACGAGTCATAAAAGAGCCAAGGTTGCCTACCCCTGGGCTAGCCTATGGTGCTAATACATATCTTGGAGAAAAGTCCATGTGCTGTATTCCAGAAAGAAAATACATTTTAAAAGATCTGGTTGGCCACAACAAAAACAAAAATTAGGATCAGAATCTAAGGAGCGAAAAGCAGGCTGCTCACATCAGAATAAAACTGTCTAAATGGCATAATACAGACCATTTCCCCCACCTCCAGAACATAGGAAAACAGGGTTTGGAAAGAACCAAGTTCAACCCCCTGCTCAAGCAGGAGATCCTATATCATTCCAGACAAATAGCTCTCCAATCTCATCTTGAAAACTTCCAGTGATGGAACTTCCAGAGGCTAGCTATTCCACTGATTAATTGCCCTAATGTCAGGAAATTTTTGCCATTTGCCATAATATTTATACTGTTCCTTACTCATCATCAGTGCTGAGGGTCTATCTTTACTATTAGCTGTTGCTGTTATGTTGTATTCTGCTTGGCTTGCTCTTGAGGTCATAATACTGTATTGTGATCATTTTTAAAGGTGTGAAACTACCCTGACAGCCTTAGAGTTGGGTAACAGGCAAGATATTGATGCAAGAGAATCTTAATCTAGGACAGGAGTGTATGAGGGAAGAATAAGGAAATAAGAAAAATATGTACTATAGGCATTACATAGAGGTCAAATCACAGCAAATTCTAATCCATGTATGGGCTTTCAGCAAGCACGTGCCTCCTATTTTCCATCATTTAAATTCAAATTGTTTCCCACCATGTTCTACAACAGGGTGTCAAACCGCTGGCCTCCCTACCCCAGCTCCGGCGATGTGAAAAAAGTCACGATACGTCACGTCGCGTCATGTGATGCGGCAAGTTTGA